TTTGTTCTGGTTTTATTTTTCCGATCAGGAGCGAAGCTGGTGAGAGGAAAGTCTACAAATCAGACGGCCCTCACCGCCACAGTCCTTTTTCCCAGTGGGCGTGGCTTAACACGTACTGTAATGGCCTCACAATACTCTTGTAAAGAAACCCAAACTGGGTTTCTTTTTTCTAAATAAACTGTTTTTCTGTTGAGGCACAAAAACGACTAGTTACTGCAACGCTTCTGTCTAATCTGGATTATGGAGACCTTTTGCACATGAATGCCTCAGCACAGAGTCTTGGTGAGACTGATGTGGTCATCGTGCCTCGCTGAGGTTTATCACTAACTGTAGACCACTGACCCATCATGGTGAACTGTGTTCTCCAGTGGGTCGGCCTTCTTTATCCACCAGGAAGGGGCATTGGTACACCTTCATTTATAAAGCCATGCTTGGATTACTACCCCCTACATCTGTAACTTAATCTCATGGAGAAGTGGAACTTCTGCGTACAACCATCAGCTGTTACTCTGTGTTCTGTTTGCTCGAGCCGAACTGGGCTGAAGGGTTTTCGTTCACTCTGCTCCTTCTGCACCGAACAGGCTGCAGGAAAACTGGGAATTATCCGAGTTTATCTCCTTGTCTGCATTTAAAACCAGACTGAGAGCCCTTGAGACGGATTCCATGTGTTGGAACTAATGTTGCACGTAACTAACTGTGTAACTGACAAATGTAACTGTAACTGTTGCTGCCTCTGGGCCAGGACTCCCTTGAAAATGGGACCTTCCTGGTTAAATAAAGAATAAATAAATGAATTAAAATAAATATAATTGATATTATATATAATAAATATACCTGCTATAACGCTACACACCATGAAACAGCTCAGAACCCAAACACGTACAGAAGAGGAAACTGTGGGAAAACTCACAGGAACAATGAGAAAGAAATTTATTAAATCAGACCAAATTCAATAATCCCTCCATGCCTGGATCAAAGAGAAACCAGTCCAGGGTTTAGGGTTAGGAGGGTCAAGGAGGACTGGAGTCCTTCGCCAAAACAAGTCGTCCCGCCCCAGATCAGTCAGTAGACTGAACCTTCTCACTTGCCCTGTGTTTTATTTGTACTTTTGTTGCAGAATTACTGAATTCTGACCTGATTCAGACCTGAGGAACCAGATTACAGGTTAGGGAACCGTCTGAAAGGGGTTCCTAAAGGCTGAAGGAACAGAATGACTTCACTTTACAACAAAAGCTGCTTTTATTTAAGCCGCGCTGCACGCAGGATGTCCAGAGGACTCAGGTGGCTGACGTTTCAGCCTTTAGTTGACTAATTGTTAATAATTTCCTCATAATTCATCCTAATCTGAACGTTTGTTCAAAAAAAAAAAAAAAAGCTCATGAGAAGGAATCTGTGCAGAAAACCGTCTCTTTTGTTGGAAACCTTTTTGTTTCTCCTCTGCTTAAAAAGTCTGGGGATTCAGTGTGTGTGTGTGTGCGTGTGCGTGTGCGTGTGTGTGTGTGTGTGTGTGTGTGTGTGTGTGTGTGTGTGTGTGAGTCCCAGGTCCCCATTCTAATAACACAGAGTTTCCCAGTGAGCAGTGGGGCAGCTGAGTATGCTCCCCTGGAACGCCACAGGGATGTGCGGATCACATTCACACACACACACACACACACACACACACACACACACACACACACACACACACACACACACACACACTGAGAGCCAAGGGAAACATGGATCAGAGAGTACACACAGCAACTCGACACAGAGCTCCAGAGAAACAGACTCGCACAAATAAACCTTATTTCCAGTTCAGCCACATCCTCACATCTCCATAATTCAGTTAGAGAGAGACGGCGGGACGAGATGAGATTATTTAAACACAACTCACTTCACACACACTCAAACCAAACACAGATTCTAGTTTCTCACACAGTAAATATGCAGCAGTGTTGATGTTTTCAAGCTGTTTTGATCTAAAAGAGATGAATAACTCTGGTTTAGTTTGTGTTTCTGGCTAAATTGACATTAAACTCCTTTTGTCTCGCTGCACGGTCTCAGCCTGTCCGGCTTCATGAGCGCAGGACGACAGAACCAGGAAAAGGAAATCAGGAAAATAAACTAAATGTGTTTGATAGTTGCTCCGGCTAAAGCGAGGAGTGGAAACAGGACGGACAGCCGTGGTGCAGATATGGTGGATGATGGATAAAAAGCATCAAGGCAGAACCTGCAGAAGGGCGCTCCCAGGGGGCTTGGAGGGAAGATGAGCCTCCGGAACGCCGACACGGCTGAATTTAACACGAATCACAGCAAACTTTACAAAAATCCCAAGGTCCACACGCTGAGGCGTGCTCACCTGTTTAGTTGATTTATTGCATCATTAATGACATCATCGTGATTATTGGTGGTGAAATAAAGCAGCATCAACAAAAAACAAAGAGAACGAGGGAGAAACTCTGAGTCGTCTGATAAGTCCGGGAGTCAAAGCAGAGAGATCCAGGAGGGCCTCAGCGATCAGGCCGCAGCATTTCTTATTTACACACACACACACACACACACACACACACACACACACACACACACACAGCAAAAACATCTCTTATTTACTAGCTTACGTCTGCACTATTTATGGGACGCTGGGGAGAGGCAGAGAAGAGAGGAAGAGAGGAGAGGGGCTAAAATATGCATAGGGGCTGGTTCTGCAGGGACAGATGGGGGAGTCGGAGAGTCGGAGGAAGACGGGAAGAGAAAGAAAACTGTGGCGGGGGGGGGGGGTGTTAGGAGAGAAGTGACTGAGAGGAACTTTGTATGTGAAGGGATTCACAGAAGGAAAGTGGGGCTGAAGGAAATCAGAGGGGAGGAGAGCATGATGCAGTGGCGCGTCCAGGCAGCAACGACCCCCGGGTGGGGGGTGGGGGTGAGCTGGACATCACATGGGCCCTTTGAGGCCTTGAAAGAGGCCAAAGCCTTTTCTATCTGGCCAAGCAGCCTTCTTCATCCATCCCCACCTCATTAAAACACACACACACACACACACACACACACACACACACACACACACACACACACACACACACACACACACACACACACACACACACACACACACACACAGTACCCAATTCAACATCTTCTGGCACACGTGCACAAACAGAAACAGCTCACACTTGCATTAACCTCCATGGTCAAAGCTCTCAGTCAGCCTTCCTGTCTAGCCCACTTAGAGAGCCCTCTCAGGGGGGTGGAGCTGTGGCAGGTCAGGCTCAGGCTGTACACACACACACACACACAAACACACACACATGCGCGCGCGTGCACACACACACACGTGCACACAGACACACACACACAAACACACACACATGCGCGCGCGTGCACACACACACACACGTGCACACAGACACACACACACACACACGCACACAGACACGCACGCACACACACACACACGCACGCACACACACACACGTGCACACAGACACGCACACACACACACACACACACACACACACACACACACACGCACACACACACACAAACACAGACACACACACACGCGCGCGCGCGCACGTGCACACACACACACACGTGCACACACACACACACACGCACACAGACACGCACACACACACACACACGTGCACACAGACACACACACACACGCACACACACACACACGCACGCACACACACACACACACACACACACACACAAGCACATGCATGCGCACACACACACGCACGCACACACATGTGCACGTGCACACACACACGCACACACATGTGCACGCACACACACACAAACACATGCATGCACACACACACACAAACACGTGCATGCACACACACACACAAACACACATGTGCACGTGCACACGTGCACACGCGCACACACATCCAGAGAGCTGCAGCCAGATAGAACTACCGAGGAAAATATTTCTAACAAATTCTTTTTTCATTTTAGTTTTTTTTTTTTTTTGTTTTGGATGACAGAAAGATGTAATGAAGAGGATTTCAGGTCTACAAAACATCCCAAAACCCTTCAAGTGTTTGTTGTTCATTACTGAAAGACAAAAATATTCATATACATCTAAAGATTTTGCTCCTTAAAACACTTTTTGTAAAGAAGTTCTGAGACTGGGAACGAGAGTCGGACGATTGTGGGGGCGTGGTCTGAAACAAACATGCTGACGGGGCGATGGGAGCCACTGATGAGGTCAGAGGTCTTGGGTCTACACCCACAGCCCAGCTTTGACTCGTCTACCCAGGTGTTTAACCAAAACTCTGACATGTGACCAAAACATGGCACAGGTGGGTGGGAGCGGAGTAGAGGGAGGGGCCAAGGACTCATGTGACCTTAATGACCTCATCAGCAACTCTTATCAACCAACTGATGTTACTGATAAAAATGTCTAAATTAAAATATGATCCCAGCTTTTGACCTGAATACGTCTCCCAGACGAGTCTCCTCGCGGTTTCCCACCTGGCCACAGGTGAAACCACAGAAGAAGACAATCCAGCCGCACCTTTTTCTCTACAGCAGCTCAGAAAATACACAAAACAGACCTGGCATCTATAACTGTTCACCTTCAGCTCTGGTAAAACACAGAACCAGAACCTCTAAAGGAGCAGAGGAATCATAGCAAACAGAACCCGACCAGAACCATCTCATCGTTGTTATTACAAGTTTCAACTCTGAACAGGACAGATGTTTGACCCGAGATCAGCGAGCTGACCACAGCTGGATCAGGACCTACTCTGGTGTGACTTATATCCGCCTATGGCTCTGAATCATGATGACATAAAGCATGCCAGAACCCCGCCTGGACCTCATGAGGAGAGATGGAAAGACGTGGAAACTCAAATGAAAGGAAGAGAGATCACAGAAGTGGAATGTGTCAGATTATCGGTGTCAGGCTATAATCCAGGGACTGAGATCATCCAGGATCTACTTAGAGCAGCACAGAACAGAAAACCAGCAGGGGGTGGGGTCAAAGAGGGGCAGAGGACGCCTAC